CATACTTGGACCTTGTCAAACAGCATGAGTAGCTTGGCTCGCGCCATAGTACCATCCCAGAAGTAGGAAAGTCATGAGAAAGAGTGGTGTTGGAATGAAGGGAACCACTTGTTTTGGGGAATAGAGGAAAGAGGTTAGGGCTGGTTGGAGATGCAGTTTCAGAGGCATTTGGAGTTTTAAAAAGATTCTTGGTGGTGTCTATTTGTAAGAAGGGTAAGAGGAGACAGTGAATTATCAGAAAAGAGGGGAAAGAAAGAAATACATACTGGATGCTGAGAAGAGTTGAGGAATGAGAGGTCAAATGTATCAGCTGGTGCAGAACAGATAAGGGAGGGGGAATGAAGAAGCCATTGCCTCTGGTGGCTAAGATGCTTCAAAGAATATTTTCAAAAATGTAGCATTTGAGAGGGAAAGAAAGAAAGGAAGACAGCCTACAAAGGACTAAATAATGTGTTGGTGAGCAAGAAATGGATTCAGGACTATAAACTACTCTTTGAAGAAGCTAGGCTTGGGGAGGACATTAACTACCAGTCTAGGGCAGATTGAAGCTGGGTATTTGTTTTCAATGATAGGAGGGACTGTATAGTATGTGTCTGAGCGGAGAAGACAAAAACAGAAAGAAGAAGTTTGAAGATGTCAGAGTAGATAATTAATGGAGAAACTTCTTGACACGGATGATGAGAATGAGGGCATGAGAAGAGGGGCTAGCTTTGTAATGAAGATCCGCTAAGAAGGACTGAAATGATGGAGGCCTACAGTTGAGTTGCAAGGACCATTGACTGGAGGGTGAAATGAGATACATGGAAAACAGGGATAATCAACTCCAACAAGAAAGGATTCCTAGAGCATGCTCTTTAGCAATAGTAGTCTGAAAAGGAAAGTTTGGAACAGAGGCAGTTACTGCCTTCTTGTCCTCAAGAAGGCTGCAGGAGAAGTGGTGTCACTGATGAGAACCAAATTTATCTTATAGTGGGGAAGGATGTATGTCTGTGTGCAGATTTCATGGATGCATAGAGAAGGTTTGCTTATGAAATGAAAGCACTCCAAAGGGTGTGACAGAAGGAATCAGGAGAGAGGTAGGCCGGAATGGAGGGCTCCTAGGGCCAATTATAGGTGAGAGTATAGAAGGAGATAGATAGGAGCAGGGTAGTTGTGCCAAAAAGATCATTATTAATAGGGCGCCTGGGTGGCTCAGTCGTTAAGCATCTACCTTCGGCTCAGGTCGTCATCTCCCGGTCCTGAGATCGAGCCCTGCATCGGGCTCCCTGCTTAGCAGGAAGCCTGCTTCTCCCTCTCCTACTCTCACTGCTTGTGTTCCCTCTCTTGCTGTGTCTCTCTCTGTCAAATAAATAAATAAAATCTTTAAAAAAAAAAAGATCATTATTAATAAGAGGGACTTTTAAAGGGGAAGGGGCAAGAATTTGGAAATAAGTACCCTCAAAGCAAGCCCAAATCCTTTGGAAAGTCCCAAGATAGATTGAGTCCTCGAGATTCATTGTTAACTGAGATGAGCCCCCAAACACTTATTCCTACCTTATTCCAATAAGCTCAAGTTCCCAGGAAGGCAAGCAACTCAGCAATTAATCCTGAGCTCAGTGCCTGGCTGTACCAATAACAAAGTGACCCTGGACATGCCATATGGCTTCCCTTATTTCCCTACCTTAAAGCAGATGTTCTCAAATTTCACTGTGTATAAGATTCAGCTGAGAAGCTTATTTTAAGAAGGCGTATTCTTGGGCTCCATTACCAGATTCTATACCAGTGGGGGCCAGGAATTTTGTTTTCGTGTGGACCTGAGGTAATCATGAGGCAGGTGGCCTCCAGAGCATACTTTGAGAGCCACTACCCTGAAAGAAAGATACCAGGGAAGGTGATCTTCTGCTTCCCGTCCATGGAACCCTATTCTATTTTACTCTCAGAGTTCAATGCTGGTGGACATTTGTCCATTTGCACTTTTCACACTTAACTGGGTTGGCCTTCTATCCTTAAAAATGAGTTAAGACTCCCACTCCTTAAATATGGGCTGCACACACTTCCACACTCCTTCTTCCAAAGAGTACATTATGGGAAGGGCGGGGGGGAATAACTAGACAGTGGAGAAACTTGACCAACACTACCTCAGCCAAATGGTCAAGGTTAACATCAAAAATGATAGCCATGTTGATAGTATGTTCTCTTGATATGTGCTGAGAATGGCACTTTACCTCTGTGGTCTTTACCCCCAAAACCCATAAAACCCAACTTAATCATGAGAAAAACTCCAAACGAGGGACATCTTACAGAATATCTGAGCGGTACTCCTCACAACTGTCAAGGTCATCAAAAACAAGGAAAATCTGATAAACTGTGTCACAGTCTAAAAGGGCTTAAGGAGACATGATATGGTATCCTGGATAGGACCCTGGAACAGAAAAGGGATATTAGATAAAAACTTAAAAAAAAAAATCTGAATAAAGTATGAGCTTTAGTTAATAATAATGAATCAAGGGCGCCTGGGTGGCTCAGTTGGTTAAGCGACTGCCTTCGGCTCAGGTCATGATCCTGGAGTCCCGCATTGGGCTCCCTGCTCAGCAGGGAGTCTGCTTCTGACCCTCCCCCCTCTCATGATCTCTCTCTCTCTGTCTCATTCTCTCTCTCAAATAAATAAATAAAATCCTTAAAAAATAGTAATAATATAATAATAATGAATCAATATTCATGTATGCCTTGTGATAAATGTGCCCTACTAATGTAACTAATACAATGTTAACAATAGGGGAAGCTAGATATTGAGTGTATAGGAACTCTGTACTACTTTAAAATTTCTATAAATCTAAAATTTTAAGGTTTTTTTTTTTTTTTTTTAAAGGAGTTAACCTTCTTCTCTAAAGCTGTGTTAACTTTAAATTTCCCAGGTAGCTGGCTTTGACTCAACATAATACTGAGATTGATTTATAACCCACGGTAGATGTTCTATTAGTCAGAAGTCAGAAACTATTGCCATGGATGTCGTGCTACCTTGGTTATCTTGATTAGCATTTCAAACTAGATTAGTAAGTCTGTTGTTTTTGTGGCAGCCAGATGATTTGATCGGATCATCTTGGAAACCGTTTTGTTAATTTTTTTAAACAGTACAGAGCTTCCTCTTTGACTCATGTGAAGACATTTCCAAGGGTGTGGTTCATGGCACTGAGCTGCCAAGATGGCAGCTTGCACTAAACAATGCATCAGACTTGCTGGGGCTTCAGTCATCAATGGAGGAGACCTCACTGGCCAACAACAGCAGTTCCTTACACTACTCATACAACTCGCAGTCCTGACGACAAATGTATTGTCACTGTGTGTGATACACATGGATGCAGTTGTATAACTAACTGTTGTCTTAGTACCATCACTTTCAGTTTCCTTTACAAAAGAAAAAAAGCAACAATAACAAACTAATGAGGATATGTTTCATTGTTCTGTTTGACAGGGAGAACCTGGAGATTTGGGAGAAAAAGGAGCTATTGGCCTCCTGGGTCCTCGAGGCTTGCCGGTTTGTATTGGATCACTACTTTTGAGCTGGCCCTTGGAATCTTTTAGTTCAACAGATATCCCATGTGCATTAAAGATACCACCCCAGTCTAGCCTGATAGCTTTCTGGAAATTGGGATATTATCCTCAACTTGGATTAGTTCCTTGGCCAAATTTCCCAGGTACAAAACATCCTGACGGGGATGCTTTTGAAGCCAAATGATAAATTGGACAAAACTTGTCTTTAGCATCCCCATAACCCTTCTTCCATTCTTTCCTCCCATCAGAACGTATTCATCAGAAACCCAGCCCACACTCCCCCAGTGCTCAGGACTTCTCACAAAGACCTTCTGCCAGGGTCCGACAGTAGCCACTGCATTTAGGAGGTCTTATTCTCATCTAGAAAACTGAAAATGGATTAGAGCTAAGGTATTAAAATACAGGCGTCAAACAGAAGAGCTAACACTACTGCCTCTTTTTATTGAGATTACTGTATGCCTGAAATTTTCCCATTCCGTCTTCATAATAATACCATGAGTAGTGATAATTTTTAGTCCCATTTTACAGATGATACAAGTGAGCCTCAGGGACAGTGCACTGTCGATATCTGTCACTGAGAGATGCCTTTAGTACCATTAGCACCAAATGTTAGTGGCCAGCCCCAGAGTGAGAATCCTGCTTCCTACTTTCTCCTAATCAAACCAAAAAACTGGGTGTTTTGTTCTTGTGTGAGTAAGCCTGTCTCCAATTTGTAGTCTGGGATATTTGTAATTAATGCCTTTGTTTACAGGGTGGTGACGGCAACCCAGGTTATGGTAGCATTGGAAGTAAAGGAGCAAAGGTAAGACACATGACTGGAAGCTGGGCATTTCCATTTATTTTTTGTTGCTTGTTTTGGGTTTGCTGGTCTTTTTTTTTTGTTGCCATATTGAAGAGGAGAAAAGGCAGTGACTAGGGCAGTCTTGGACATTTAGAGGTAGATTTTGATAATTTATTTGTTGATATCCCTTGGAGGATGTGGTAAAAGAAAAAACAATTTGATGGCTTAAGGTGCAGGCAACAACTGAAACTTGAAAATAATTTTCTGTTCCTTTGCAAAGATGTGCAGCCAGGGCCTGACTTGTTCCAGCCAAACAGTGCATTTATATATCTTAGCAGCTCTGTGCTCAGGTTTACTTAGGGAGGCATTGCAAAGTTTGTTCTCTTCTTAATATGTTTAACCATTAGTAAGAGGTTTTACAGGGTTTTTCTAAATGCATTGGGCCAAGCAATAACTCAAAAATAAAAACTTTTAACTTCATTTCAGAATTATTACTTTATATTTTGAATATTTAAGTGTCTGGAAGTAAGATAGATAAATTTACAAAACCAGTGATTCCTATATACTAACAATTACCACTTAGAAACCATAATAACAATACCCACAAAAAACATAATAGAGTTAAGAATATCCTTTCTGCAAAATGTTTGAGACCTAGGACAAAAAAATGACTGAAATATAAAACTTCACTAAATGAAGACATCCAAATTCTTGTTGGAAAGTCTAAAACATTATAAAGAATTGATTTAATTCCAAGTGAAATCCCACTAGGAATGATGCAAGAGGCCGTCTGGAAGGATAAACAAACCCCAAAAAGCTAAACTTTTTTTGAAAAAAGAAATTACTAATGAATGAGACATTTCCAGTGAAATTTCTCTTTAGAATAGAGAATTAATTGAAAATCTCAGTATCTGATAAAGGGAAATATTAAGTAGCTTATAGCACTAGAATATTAGCCACTCTTTAAAATGAATTTTTATGGAGTTTACAATCATGTAAAGAAATTATGTGACACTATCAAGTAAAAAATCAGGATATAAAAAAAAATCAAGAATATTTATCCCAATTGTGCTAAAAATGCATTTTGAAGAGCTTAAAGAAAATATGATAAAACATTTATAATGGTTCTGGGTAGTGAGATTTTAGATGATTTTTCTTCTTTCTATTCTTTTGTATTTTATATATGTTTGAGGAGATACTACTTGTAATAGAAACTAAACTTTATTTTAAATAAACTTTTTTTTTCATCAAATGGGGAGATTGTCAGATGTCTTCAATAATAGTCCGTGGACTAAGTAAGGTAAACAGAGGACTGGAAAACCAATGATCAAGTTTAGGTTCTAGGCTTCTCACCTGTCTCCACTGAAATATGTGTTAAGACTGTTTCAGAAACATTTTGCCATCTAGCCAGCTATCCTGTCAAATGCCTTCAGTAGAAGGAGAGCTGATTTATATAAATCCTGAGATGTGCACATTTATCCATTTATCTAGGTTGTCATGATATTTTGGTATAAATAGCTTAATTTAGGAATTGGAGCTAGTTTCTCAAATTGTGCTGTACAGTTTTGTTTTCAGTTGTTTTGGCCCTTTCTTGATTCAGAGATACTAAAACCAAATAAGGCAGCAGGTAAGATTAAAGTCAGCACGAACCTACCTTGGTGATGTGTGCGTATATTAATTTTCCATACTGTCAATTATAGGGGCAAGAAGGATTTCCTGGAGAAAGTGGACCTAAGGTACTGTGTACTTCGTATTAAGCAGAGATCAATCAGAAATACTCCTGAGGCTATGAAATGTATCATAGGACAATAGAAGAATAATTATAAATGAATAAAAAGAAGCTTCAGGGGCTCCTGGGTGGCTCAATCAGTTAGGCGTCCAAGTCTTGATCTTGGCTCAGGTCATGATCTTGGGGTTGTGAGATCAAGCCCGGCATCAGGCTCCACACTCAGTGTGGGATTCTCTCTCTCCCTCTGCTCCCACCCCTCCTCACTTGCATGCACACGTTCTCTCTCTCTCTTAAAAAAAAGAGAGAGAGAGAAAGAGAAAGGAAACCTTTATGAGGAAAATGGGGGAAGAAAGAAGCAGGCTTTTTAAAAAATTTCATTTCTACTTTTTAAATTCATAAGTAAATGAAGAAATCATCCTTATTTTTCTTCTTCTCACATGGACTCCTTCTCCTCTATCATATGTATTTTCTTCTTTGCTCAAAGGAAAGTAAAATGTAAGGAAAACCAAAACCTGAATTCTTCACCTGGCTCAGTTTTTCCAGTGTGATTATAAGTCACCTTCCAATAATACATTAGTAATGATGCCTTCTACTAATGCCTTCACTTTTACTAGAAACATTTACTGAGTTCAGTAAATGCCAGGTCCTGTGATAGGATCAGGGGACAAAATAAAGGGTGGTGTTCATGTCTCAGAGGAGGCTGTGTTGTGGCTGGAGAGAGGGAGACAAAAGTCAAACAGTGAGGCTGCAGCGTGCTGTGTAGAGAGCTATAAAAATGAAGGGAGAGGCGAGAGGTGGGAAAAGAGGACAGACGCTTCAAAGAAGACTGTTGAAGATTAAAATGTGTATGAAAAATGTCTTCATGTTGGAATAAGTTTAAAAACACATTGAGATATAGCTCTTTGATTTTAATTACCATCGTATTTTTCTGAACTTATTTAGGGTGAGACTGGGGACCCTGGGGGTCCAGGAGAAACTGGACCCAAGGGAGCTAGAGGCAAGACGGTAAGCTTCTTAGATTCCAATGCCTTACCACCTCGGCTACTTTGGGAAGTCCTTTTCATGCTTTTACAATCATTTGAGTTGTCACTTGTTCCCTCAAGACTTGCAAAATGTGTGTGTGTGTGTGTGTGTGTGTGTGTGTGTATTCTTATGGCAAACCTGGGGAAGGGAGATGGATATATGACTCATCCTCCAACGCCAGCAAGAAGGCAAAGTAGTGTTTGCTTTTAGTGAACAAGTTCACCTGTTCTGGCTGCCAATGTACCATTCTTAACTCTGGAAATAAGATTTTGTTTTAGGAATCCTTGTGGTCAAAAACAGTTTTGCACTGGCAAAATATGGTTAGTTTAATCCCATTTCCCTGGCAGATTTAGTGCAGCCTAATGCCCCCCTGGCATCTTGTTCTTCACTATTAAGGTTTTGTTAAACTACTTTTAATGAGTTATACCCTAAAAGGTCCTCTTCCCATTTAGCTTAAGAGAGTATGTCTTAATTTTTATGAGAAATTTCCATTTATGACTGAATATGTCCTTGTTATTCCATAGAAGGACTTAGAAATTTCCTAAAGGTTTGGATCACTCAGAATGAACAAAAGTGTCCAGTGTAGCTCATAGACATCAGCATATTTGGGTTCCAGTGGGTTAAGAATGGATTTTTGCATTTGTTGACTCTATATTTACACTGTGTATAAATGACATGGCTGCTTTGTGAAAGGGACATTCTTCTACTAATTGCCTCTCAATAAAATTGTTTCTTTTCTTCAGCACAGCTCTATTGGGTAACCTGATCTTAACACCATGTTAATTAGCAGGAAAAGAAAAACAAAGTGATATAACTTGATACTTGAGGTGGTTTTCCAGTTTTGTCATTGTACTGAATTCTGTTCTGATCTGATTTTTTATTAAGTATAACAAGAACTTTATGTACAGAGATTGTTGTTTTTCCTAGCTCATTGTTTAATTGCCCGCTCTTCTAAGGGATCCTGTAGCAGCTTCTTTGCTCTCCTATGTGTTCATTCTCTTTTGCATTACACTTGACCATTTCCACCTCTGTGACTCTCTTTCCAGGGTTTTTAAAATTTTATTGAAATATAGTTGATATACGAGATTAGTTTCAGGTGTACAACATAGTGATTCAATAACTATATAGATTACAAAATGCTCACCACGATGTGTAGTCACCATCTGTCACCATATAATGTTATTATAGTAATATTGACTATATTCCCTATGCTGTACTTTTCATCTCTGTGACTTATTTTATAACTGGAAATTTGTACCTCTTAACCCCCTTCACCCATTTCACCCATTCCTCCACCCACCACCCCTCTGGCAACAACCAGTTTGTCCTCTGTATTTATGAGTCTATTTCTATTTTGTTTTTCTGTTTTGTTCTGGTTTTTTCTTTATTCATTTGTGCTGTTTTTTTAGATTCCACATATAAATGAAATCATATGGTATTTGTCTTTCTCTGACCTATTTCACTTGGCATAATACCTTTTAGGTCCGTCCATATTGTCACAAATGGCAAAATTTTATTCTTTTTTATGGTTGAATGATAGTCCATTGTGTGTGTGTATATACATGTGTATGTATGTATGTGTGTATGTGTGTATATATATATACAGATATATATCTCATATTGTGTGTGTATGTATATCCATTCTTTATCCATTCATCTATTGCTTCCATATCTTAGATATTGTAAATAATACTGCAGTAAACATAGGGGTGCAGGTCTCTCTTCAAATTACTGTTTTTTGTTTTCTTTGGGTGAACACCCAGAAGTGGAATTACTGAGTCATATTGTGTTTCTATTTTTAATTTTTTGAGGAACCTCCATACTGTTTTCCATACTGGCCACAACAATTTGCATTTCTGCCAGCAGTGCACCAGGGTTTCCTTTTCTCCATATCCTTGACAACACTTGTTATTTCTTATCTTTTTGATACCAGTTATTCTGACTGGTAAGGTGATATCTCACTGTGGTTTTGATTTGCATTTTCCTGATGATTAGTGATGTTAAGCATCTTTTCATGTGTCTGTTGGCCATCTGTACAGCTTCGGAGGAATGTCTGTTCAAGTCCTCTGCCCATTTTTTGATCAGATGTTTGTGTGTGTTTGTGTGTGTGTTGAGTTGTATGGGTTCTTTGTATATTTTGGATATTAACCCCTTATGGGATATACCATTTGCAAATATCTTCTTTCATTCAGTAGGTTGCCTTTTCATTTTGTTGCAGGTTTCCTTCATTGCACAAAAGCTTTTTAGTTTGATAATAGTCCCAATTATTTATTTTTGCTTTTGTTTCCCTTGCAGAGAGATCTAGAAGATTAGTGCTTATGTTTTCTTTTAGGAGTTTTATGATTTCAAGTCTTACATTTAGGTCCTTAATCCATTTTGAGTTTGTGTATGGTATAAGACATTGGTCCAGTTTCATTCTTTGCATGTATCTGCCCAGTTTTCCCAGCACCATTTGTTGAAGAGACTGTCTTTTCCCCATTGTATATACCTGCCTCTTTGGTCATAGATTAATTTGGTCATAGGTTTATTTCTGGGTTTTCCATTCTGTTCCATTGAGCTATGTGTCTATTTTTGTGCCAATACCATATTGTTTTGATTACTACAGCTTTGTAGTATATCTTGAAATCTGACATTGTGATACCTCCAACTTTGTTTTTCTTTCTCAAAATTGCTTTGGCTACTCACGGTCTTTTATGGTTCCATACAAATTTTAGGATTACTTGTTCTAGTTCTGTGAAAAATACCACTGGTATTTTGAAAGGGATTGCATTGAACTGTGTAGATTGCTTTGGGTAGTATGGACATTTTAACATTCTAATTCTTCCAACCCATGAGCATAGGATATCTTTCTACTTGCTTGTGTCATCTTCAGTTTCATCCATCAATGTCCTATAATTTTCATAGTATAGGCCTTTCAGCTCCTTGGTTAAATGTCTTCCTGGGCATTTTATTCTTTTTGATGCAATTGTAAGTGGGATTGTTTTCTTAATTTCTCTTTCTGCTACCTTGTTATTAATGTATAGAAAAGCAAGAAATTTCTTATATTAATTTTGTATCCTGTGACTTTACTGAATTCCTTTATTCTAATAGTTTTCTGATGGAGTTGTTAGGGTTTTCAATATTTAACATCGTGTCATCTGCAAATAGTGACAGTTTTATTTCTTCCTTACCAATTTGGATGTCTTTTATTACTTGTCTGATTGCTGCAGCTCAGATTTCCAGGACTATGTTGAATAAAGGTGGTGAGAGTGGACATCCTTGTATTGTTCCTGATCTTAGAGGAAATGCTTTTGGTTTTTTACCATTGAGTATGATGTTAGCTGTGGATTTTTTATATGTGGCTTTTATTAGGTTAGGTATATTCCCTCTAAACTCATTTTGTTGAGAGTTTTTGTCATAAATGGATGCTGAATTTTGTCATATGATTTTATTCATTTGTTAATGTGTTGGTATCATGTTGTTTTATTTGTGGGTATTGAACTAGTCTTGTATCCTGGAACAAATCCCACTTGATTGTGGTGGATGAGTATTGTTGAATTAGATTTGCTAATATTTTGTTGAGAATTTTTGCATCTATATTTATCAGGGATATTGGCCTGTAATTTTCTTTGTTTGTAGTGGGTTTTTTTTTTTTCCAGTTTTGGTATTAAGGTAATGCTGCCCTCATAGAATGAATTTGGAACTTTTCCTTCCTCTTCTGTTTTTTGGAGTAGTTTGAGAAGAATAAGTATTAATTCTTCTTTAAACATTTGGTAGAATTCATCTGTGAAGCCACCTGGTCCTGGATATTTGGGGTTTTTTGGAGTTTTTCAGTTTCATTACTGGTCATTGGTCTGTGCAGATTTTCTTTTTTGATTCAGTCTTGGAAACAATGTTTCTAGGAATTTATCCATTTCTTCTAGGTTGTCCAATTTGTTGTTATGTAGTTTTCAGATTAGTCTCTTATGATCCTTTGTACTCTGTAGTGTCAGTTGTATCTTCTCTCATATTTCTAATTTGAGTCTTTTTTTCTTGATGAGTCTGGTTAAGGTTTATCAATATTGTTTAGCTTTTCAAAGAACCAGCTCCTAGTCTCATTAATGTTTCCTATAGGCTTTTTAGCCTCTATTTCATTTATTTCTGCTCTGCTCTTTATAATTTCCTTCCTTCTAACTTTGGACTTGCTTTGTTCTTTTTTTTTTTTTTCCTTGATCCTTTAGGTGTAAGTTAGATTATTTATTTGAGATTTTTCTCTTTTATTGAGGTAGGCCTGTATTGTTACAAACTTCCCCCCTTAGAACTGCTTTTACTGCATCCCCAAGATTTTGAACCATTGTGTTTCAATTTTCATTTGTCTCCAGGTATTTTTTGATTTCCTCTTTGATTTCTTCATTGACCCACTGGTTGTTTAATAGCATGTTGTTTAGCCTCCATGTATTTGTGGTTTTTTCCCGTTTTCTTGTGATTGATTTCTAGTTTCATCCCATTGTGGGTGGGAAAGATGTTTGATATAATTTCAGTTTTCTTAAATTTATTGATATTTGTTTTGTAGCCTAATGTAATCTATCCTGGAGAATGTTCATAGCACCGTAGTTCATAGCATCAGGGGTGGGGTTTCCATGGTTACTGTGTCTCCATCTCTCCTGCCATTCTCTTTGTGGTCCCTTTATCCTTTGTTGTGCAGAAGCTGTTCAGTCAGCCCTCTGTTCTTTTTCAGGAGGAATTGCTCTCTAGGTAGTTATAGATTCGGTGTGTCCTTGGGAGGAGGTGAGTTCAGGGTCTAACTATGACACCATCTTGGACACCTCTTGCCTGTGTAGTCATTATTTATTGGGTTTTAGGGATACAAAATAAAAAAACTTCTCTTTCCCTCCATCCTGCTTCTCCTAAGAGGATTGCATCTCAGCTATAATTCTTTTCCTCATGCATGTTTTTGGATGACTGTCCTTTAACATTATGATTTCAAAAAAATGACTGATATAATTAGAAAGGTAATTGGAAAAGACTTTCAAATTAATCCACATGTCATCTGCATTGAAATATCTCTGAATCCTTTCCCTTGGCTTGTTAACGAAGTACTTTACTCTTGAACATTGGAAGCATGCTAACAAGTTCAGCTGTTTGTTGGGTTCTTGTCCCCCAATGCCACATTAATCATTTTTATAAAACAACCAGTGGGAAGCATGTGAACTTTTTCTTTTGGCCTTCGATTACTTGAATTTCTTTTTTCCCCACAATTAATCACTGTTTGTAACTTCTTATTTCACCTGCCAAGCTGCTTTTCCCCTATCTATGTAAATATTTCTGAGTTTGAAGTTGAAATTTAGACACTGAAAACTTCCAGGTTTTCCTTCTGAAAGAGCTGAAGTTTCTATTGGTAGAAGCTTCTACTGATAAAGTTTTACCTTCAATTTTGAGTGCCTCTTCAGTTTTCTTGGAATGATTACATTTTTAGTTTGTTTTTTAAATTTTCACCTTGTTTTTTCCTCCCAACTGAAGGATTTTTTTTAATTTCTCATTTTTAACCTTATTATGTGTGTGTGTATATGTGTGTGTGTGTGTATGTATATATTTACCAGTTTTACACATGCACATACTTTAAAGCAGGATATCTTCATCTCAGCACTATTAACATTTTAGGCTGGATAATTCTTAGTTGTGGGGTCTGTCCTGTGCATTGCAGGATGTTTAGTAACTTCCCTGGCCTCTACCCACTAGACATCAGTGGCACTGCCCTTCTCCACCCTTCCCCATTATGACAGCCAAAAATGTCTCCAGACATTGTCAGATCTCCCCTTGGGGGAGGTGGGGAGGCACAAAATTCTCCCTAGTTGAGAACCACTGATTTAAAGAGTCAAATAATTTCACAAGGTTTTCATATGAGAGGGGGAAAAAAAAAAGGCAATCCCCTCTGCCCCTTATCTCTTTCTTCTCTCCTATTTCTCAGGTTGTCTTTTCGCTCTACTTTTCTGGGAGATATCTTTTTTTTTAATATTTTTTAAATTTTTTTTATTATGTTAGTCACCATACATACATCATTGACAAGGCAAGAAACAACAAATGTTGGAGAGGTTGTGGAGAAAGGGGAACCCTCTTACACTGTTGGGGGGAATGCAAGCTGATACAGCTCCTTTGGAAAACAGTGTGGAGGTACCTCAAAAAGTTAAAAATAGAGCTACCCTATGACCTAGGAATTACACTACTGGACATTTACCCCAAAGATACAGATGTAATGAAAAGAAGGGCCACATGCAACCCCCAATGTTCATAGCAGCAATGTCCACAATAGCCAAATTGTGGAGGGAGCCGAGATGCCCTTCAACAGATGAGTGGATAAAGAAGATGTGGTCCATATATACAATGGAATATTACTCAGCCATCAGAAAGGATGAATACCCAACTTTTGTATCAACATGGATGGAACTGGAGGAGATTATGCCAAGTGAAATAAGTCAAGCAGAGAAAGTCAATTATCATATGGTTTCACTTATTTGTGGAACATAAGGAATAGCATGGAGGACATTAGGAGAAGAAAGGGAAAAATGAAGGTGGGGGAATCAGAGGGGGAGATGAAACATGAGAGACTATGGACTCTGGGAAACAAACTGAGGGTTTTTCTGGGAGATTTCTTTGACTATTTCACAATGCTTCTCTCATGATTTAATTTTAAAGAGCTTGTTTTTATTCTCCAAATATTTTTTATACTATCCTGTCTTGTTTCATGGTTGAAAAATCTTCTCTTAGCTTTCTGAGGATATATATTAGTATTTTTACAATCTTCTTTGTCCAACGTAGTCTTTTTCCTGTAGTTTTTTTTCTATATTGATCTCTATTTCCAGCATGTCTGGAGAATGGATTATCTCTTCCTATTTAAGAATTAAAGACAAAAAGGCTAATTGGAAGCCCCAAAGACATTGGTAAAGCTGATCAACTATAAGTTTTACTGAAGAGTAATCTGGCTGAGTTCTTTACTTAGCAGACCTCTGATACCATATCTTTAGGTCTTCCTTCTTTGGTCAGATTCCCCTGAGAAGATTATTTCAATTTCCTGCCTGAGGATGAAGGTCTGGCTGTAGTTTTCATGAAGGCACAAGGAAAAGAAACCCCCTGAGGGGTCTCATGTCTATTTCACATATCTTCATTGGATCACCCTGTTTTCAGGAGGGTACCATGGGCCCTCAACTCTGCCTGGAGTTCCCTGGTACAGATCCCTCAGCTTTACTTCTGTCTGTTTTGGAATGGAAAAGGGGATATTCATTCATCCAATTGCAGAGAATGGAGAGGAGACTGGAGAATTCCTAAAATGATTTTCAACCAGTCCTCCTTATTTAGCCCCTCCCCTTCACCTCCTCTTTGGGAGGTACCTGGTCCTGCCAATTCTTGAGCTTTCTGGGAATGGACTCTTGGCTTTCCCTGCTACTGGCTTAGGATACAGCTTTTTCAGATCTGCTAAGTCATTTAACAAATATACATCTGCTTTCTAGCCTCTGGAGGTTTGTGGCTATTGTCTTCTTTCTCATGCTCCCCATTTTTTTTTTTTTTTGGCCTTTTAAAAAAATCTACTTACTATCATTTTAATGACATTGAGAGGGAGCAGAAGTCAATGCATATGTTCAGTCTGCCATTTTTTTTTCCTGGGAGGTTAGTCTATATCTCCTAAACAAAATATGACCAGTGAGGTTTTTTTTCACTCAGCTCAGCACACTGTAGAATACCCAAATACCCAAAGGACATCAACAGTTATTCCCTGTGTCATAGGTAATGCTTGTACAAATTAAGTTGATTTTAGACAACTTCATTTTTCCATTCCTGTAAAGTTTATAAATCCCATGGCATTTTGAATGAACTAACAAATATTGCCCTAATTTTTAAATTAAATTCTAGCCTTCTTTATGATAAATTATATTGTTAAATGCACATGGAAGAATTCTTGGCATATAGTAAGTAGTCAACAATTGTTTTTATTACTGCTGTTATTCCTCATTTCACTACAAATGTCTCCAGACAATTTTTAAGTGTTTTCTTCTTGTTGTTTCAGGGGTCTTATATTTAAATTTTTCTTTTTCTGGGTTTTTTTGTTCATTTATTTGTTGTCATCTACTGTCTCATTTAGATAAAAATTTCTCCTTTGATCTAGCAACTCCAGTTCTAGCAATCTTCCCTAAGGAAATAATCAGAATTGCACGTATAATTTTTCTTGGTGTTGCTTATTACAACAACAGCAGACTTAAATGCCAACAATAAGGGACTGATGAAAGAAATCATGGTACATCTGTGTGATGGAATATTATGCATCCATTAAAAATGATTTTGCCCCCCCCAAACTTAATAATGTGAAAATTCAAGAGATATATTCAGTTTAAAAGATAACAGAAAAGTATAAAATTATATTTTAAAAGAATATATGTAGATATAAACATATAAAAATACCAAAAGAATAAAAAAGTAAAAGACTAGAAGAAAAGACACCAAATGTTAACAAGGATTATCTGGAAGCAAAAGAATTGCTAAAGATTTTTTTCCTTTTGTGTGCTTTTTGGAAATCTCTCAATGTTCTAAAATAAAAGTGTATTACCTTTGACATTTAAAACACACTCACAAACATTAGGGATGCCTCAGTGGTTCCGTCGGTTAAGCGTCTGCCTTCCGCTGGGTCATGATCTCAGAATCCTGGGATCAAGTTCCGCATCAGGCTCCCCTGCTCAGCACGAGTCTGCTTCTCCTTCTGATCTCCCCGCTTGTGCGCATGCGCGCTCGCAAGCTTGCTCGCTCTGTGAAAGAAATAATAAATCTTTAAAAAATAAAACCCACAAACCCCATACATATATGTATAAATATAATTTTAAAATAAATGAATCTTGGGAGTGCCTGGGTGGCTCAGTCCTTAAGCGGCTGCCTTCGGCTCAGGTCATGATCCCACTGGGATTGAGCCCCGCACCGGGCTCCCTGCTCAGCGGGAAGCCTGCTTCTCCCTCTCCCACTCCCCCTGCTTGTGTTCCTTCTCTCACTGTCTCTCTCTCGCTGTCTCTTTCTCTCTCTCAAATAAATGAGTAAATAAATCTTTAAAAAAATAAATAAATGAATGAATTTTGCTTTGAGATATCCACTGGGCCTCCAGGAGAGATGGGATCCCCTGGGGAGCCAGGACCTCCTGGACGCAAGGTAAGTTGAAAAGTCATAAATCACACCAGATCCTTTTCTAAATAAAAAGTGCATGGAGTCTTCATTGTCCAAATGGGCATGCTTTCTGTCTTTGCACTTGGTAACTATTTTCACTGTTTTTCTGCATTTATGTGCTTAGAGATATGAGGGAGAAATGATTAAATATTAGTCACCATTTCTCATGAGATAAGGGTAATTTGAGAGAGGAAATGAAAAGTATTGGACTAAAATGTGATTTCTCAATTATTGGTGAATTTTATTTGCCCAGTCGTTGTCCTCTTCCTATATTCAGTAAGTGGTTAGTGAATGAAGGGAAGTGAGAGGAAATTAATAAACAGGGAATAAATGATCAAAGTTGTATTCACATGGAACTTATTTTCTCCAGGAGTTTGGGTGGGACTTCACTGCATTTTTCCTTGGGTGTCTCTCTTTGAGAACAGCCAGACTCTTCCTGTTCCAGAGATGGAATTGAACCTGTGAAATTAAAACCAATTCCACTTTGTTCTTTCTATTCCTAATCCAGACAGATATATATTATATATATATATATATATATATACGCACACACACACACACACACATATATGAATGAATATATATATATTCATTCATTCACTTTTGGAAGACTATTGGGATTACCTTTCCAGATACACAGTTTGAGTCTGGTCCCTTTGTCATCCAACCAATGATGGAAACAGGAAGATTCAGTTCAGCTGCTGTTCAGTGGCCAAGGCAAAGTATGGGGTTGAGGAACTCTGTCCCTTAAGGATGGGCAGTTATAATAGATGGTTCAGCCTTATCTATATCTAAGCCATAAACCTGCTTCAAAGCTCTTCTTGCCAGTGTTAAGTATTCAGCTCCATCCTTAGATTCTGAATGACCCTTGTTGTCCACAGATGGGGCTGGAGGAAGGTGGCCTTTAGAGGTTTGTGTTCATCAAGCTTGCTAGATGAATGTTACTCTTAATTCAGCAATGAGGATCGTTCTACATGTATTCTTTTTTCCCTCTAACTTAATAAGAATAAAAACTTTAGAAAGCTTCACTTTCTGAGGTTAATGCACATTCTGGCTACTGATGAGTGTGTGCAGAGCAATGAGACTACATTTCTTTTGTTTCCTAGGGTGTGAAAGGGGCCAGAGGATTGGCTTCATTTTCTGTATGTATCTCCTGACTCCAAAAGAATGCTCTGTACTCCGTTATATTTATTTTTAGACTTGAAGACCTGGCAGTCAGTTGGTTAATTCTTTGTTTTATTTTTGAACTGCAGATGTGTGAGCTCATTCAGTATGTACGGGACCACAGCCGTAAGTATCCTGCTTAAATTGATCACCCAAGTTGTCAAAGCATTCGTAGAAGAAGAGCAGTGAAGTCTGCACTCAGAATTGAGCCAATTTACCAGCCAATCTCTTAAGATTAGAGATGTCACTGCATATATTTTGAGTCAACATAGATTGGTGACTATTAACTCCTTCTTTGACTGCCTTCATGTCTATTAGAACCTGTTCCAAGCACTAATTAATACTATATCTAGTGCTTTTAACCTAGGGAAAATTGAGGTATGAGGTCAGAACTCTTCTGATGGTGAAATCAATCAATGGAGAGTCACATTGAACTTTTAAAAATGATTAACACCTGACAGTAACACAGGATTGAATTCACCAGGTGTGAAATCTAGCTGTGGATAATAAGGTGTCCTGATGGGTGGGAGCACTTACTTTGGTTTATTGTTTATTCTTTTCTGGAAAGGTATGCTTGATTACTTTTCGTTGGAATGATTGATTTGCTTATAAAATTACTCATTTTGCTTATATATTTTTTCTCCAAATTTTTAAAGCAAAAAGGCATTTTGATTTGGCAAATGCTCTTTTGAATTTGTTTTGAGACTCCTATAGCAGTGTCTTCTATCAAAATATATGTTACCATTAAAGGAATTCCACATGTGAGGGAAGAATTGACTATTTAGTGTTTATTTACAAATGTGTGATGACTTCCCAAATAAACACCATGAATGAAAAATTCCTTTGAGGTCTTTTAGAGCCCATTTCTATAGAAAGCCTTGGTCTCAAAGACAAACTTTTTAAAGCTTTGAATGCAGTGTTGACTCAACTCTACCTTTTTGTACCAAAATGGAACCACCCATGATGAAAAATCAAAACATATATGGTAAGTCATGAAGGCTGGTTGCTTTGGGCTGACTTAATACAGTTCACTTTTTAACATTAGAGCCATGTGAACTATAATGACTCAAAGGTAGATCCAAGTGTGATGAGGCCCAATCTTTTATAATTTGAGAGGCTCAATACAAAATTATAAATCCAAAAGTAGGTACAAAATTATTTCAAAAGAAAGTTGTTTAGAACAGGAAAAGAAATCACAACCAACAACTTTTGCATATTGTAAAAGCACATGATCACGTGAACACATGGCTAGTCCCTTCTCAGGGTCTTGCACTGGGCAAATGAGAAGGTGAGATGTCTAAAGCAATAGAACTTTCTGCGGTGATGGATGTGTTCTACCACACTGTTCAATATGGTAGCCGCTAGCCACTAGCCTGTGACTTTGGGTACTTGAAAGGTGGTTAGTGCTACTGAGAAGCTGAAATTAATACATTTAATTTTAATTAAAATTTAAATAGTCACATGTGGCTAGTGACTTCCATATTGGACAGTGCAGACCTAAAGCATATTTATGCTTCATCTGCTTCAGAGTAAACCCACCTCTAATGTTTACACACACACACAAATACCTATCTGTACAGACTTATATATGTGCATATATATAAAATCCATATCTATAGATCTCTACATGGAGAAAAATTAGAATAAAGAGAGGTTAGAACCTTTTAACCTTTCCAAATTCAGTGCACCTCTCTGCACTGTAATGTTCTTTCCCAGGCAAAGGTTCTTTCCCTCTGACAGTTGGCTGCAGGCTACTGATTTACGGCTGTATATTGTCCCACTTCTCCCATCCTGTCTTGTTTTTGCCAAGATGCTGGGATCCGTCTGCATTTTCTCCAGACCCTTTCTGTTGCCTCAGTGTTTGAGTCATCTACGAAAAGCACACAGGGCAGAGCTTCTACTGCCATGATTTCCCTACACAGTACAGAACTTTGTTCTACCAAATAATAACCCAATCTCCTTTGTTCTTCTCCCCCAGCTGGCGGACATGGTGAGTAATCTTTATTTACAGCAAGTTTTAATCAAGCTCCAAAATGTCCTACATCTGGAAAGAGGAGTCAAAACAATGTGTTGCCTGCCAAATAATATAAATTTTATCTGAGCTGTCTTTGCTGCCTCATACTGGTAGCACAGACCTGCCTCCAATAAATCACTCTGCTTTAGCTGAGTCTCACAGCTGTTTCTCAACCAAGTAGTTTGATTTTTTTATTAATATTTTAATGACTAACATTATACTATTTATGTTACCATTAGGTCTTTTGTAATAATATGTCTCCTTCCCTTCATTTTCTCTATTGTCTCTGTAGTCTAGTGGTTAAGAATTTAGATGTAACAGCAGTTACCCTCTTACACCTTTATACCCTATACCTTTTGTCTAAACCCATCAATCCATGCCCTCTGGTTGCATCTTCACTCACTCAACAAATATTTATTGAAAGCATATTATGTACTAGGCACTGGGGAACAGGGCCGAATAAGATGGACATAATTCTTGTCTTCAGAAGCTTCCATTCCAGCAGAGGATCCAGATGATAAACACGACAAAGAAATACAGAATCCTATAGTTGCTGTGAAAGAGATAAAGAATAGGATGCTCTGTCACAGAATAATGTTAGGGGAGGGGAGAGTTGCTTTAGGATGGAGGGCTCCTCTTTGAGGCAGTGACATTAGAGTTTGGACTGAAGAATAAAAAGAAGCCAGCTTTACAAGAGCCAGGAGAAAGAGGAGCAAGTGCAATGGCCATGATACAAGACAGACGTAGGCATTTCCTGGGAACTGCTGCAAGTCCAGTGAGGGAAGGGGAGATTGGCTGGTGAAAAAATGAAGCAAGCAGAAGCCAGGTCAAGCTGAACTTTTTAGATTGAAATAGGGAGGGTGGATTGTATTCAAATTGGAATGAGAGGGTATTAAAGAGTTTATTCAAAGTATTGAAGGAAGAACATGAGCTGATGAAGGATTTTTTTTTTTTAAAGATTTTATTTATTTATTTGACAGAGAGAGACACAGTGAGAGAGGGAACACAAGCAGGGGGAGAGGGAGAGGGAGA